TCTTTCTTTGTCGGCTTCATTAGCATGAGTCAAATGTAGTTCTTTGTACCTCTCAGCCCGTGATTTCAGTTGTGCCCTTGACATGTGTTCAGTCAGGCCAAGGCAGCGGGCCAGGGAGGAAGCTGAAAGATTCAAGTGTTGCTTTCGGTGGCGGTGGCTCTTCGTCTCTGATTCAGGAGGTCAGTAATCACCCCCACCCCCTATTCCTCATTTCTGCTCTCTTTCTGCACTCACACCCCCTTTTACTGGCCCCAGGCTTCCCTGTAACATCCCCTTCACCCAAAAAGTAGTGACAGTCTGGAGAACTTACGCCTGTCTTGATGATGACAAAGACTGTTTTCTGCTAGAGGAAGCGATAATGTGCAATCTTTGTCCAAACTCTCATGAGTCATTTAAAGGGGCAGTACACTCAAATAAAAAAAGTGTTTGCTTGTTTCCATACAATGAAAGTCAGTGGTGTGCTGTGTGGTTCTGAACCATTTTGGCTTTCATTGTGTGGACAAACAAAACACATTTTTCAAGATGATGATGATTTGGGTGAATTATCCCTTTAAATTTCTTAAATCAGCTAAACTGCTTACTAGTGTATCACTGTATGAAATAACAAAATGAAAAATAATATTCACTTGACAATGTTTTGTTTAGCTCTTGGGTTAGTTTAAAGGTAGATTTAAAACACGTGCATGAACGTGTGAAAACATTTAACATAACCTGATTCGTTTATTTGAGTGAAGAAGTAATTCAGCTGCTAAACATCAACAAGCCATTTGTGAGACAAAGTAATGTCTGTCCTAACTCCATAGTTTGATACAATCAGGGTTCAATTTAATCCAGTGCTGAATTCATGAATAAGTGCTACTCAACTGACCGGCCAGTGCCCTACATAGTTCACAACCCACATGCAGCATAGAAGGCCTGCTTTGTTTTTAATGGCCAGCAATGAATTCAAGGGTCAATTAGAGCCTGAATTCCACAGGCATGTGATTCAACATTCCCCACCTTCATGAAAGAAACCTCAATTACAGCGGACACTTTAATGCAGAAGACAGCTCTGTTTTAAATCCGTTGATCATTTCACCCATTTAAGAAGAGCACTTTCAGTACTATTGCCATGGATGTCATTGACTTCCGACTGACTTCCACACCTCCATGCTAAAAGATTTGCAGGTCAGTAAAAGAGATCTCTGCTACAGCAGTAGAGAAACAGGGAACAATTAATAGTTGAAACAGCATCAGACGCCTCTGGATCCCAGGGATTGTTTATTTTACAGATTTTGCCCTGCACCCGATTCCTTTCCTGCTGCTGTAAAAATGATTTATCAGGTCTGAAGGGAACTATGAAATATTTGAAATGAAAACAAGCTTGTGTTGCATTTTGCTCTGAGGGTTTGTGTTTTTTTCCGACTGGTTCAGTTGTTAAAGAAGGCCGAAACCTAAAATATTTACACTCTAAAATAAAAAGCAACATCGAACACTCACAGAAAAAAGTGGTTTGTGAAGAAATGTGAAGAAACAGAGCAGCAGGGGGGTATTTTTTAATTCATCTTAAATGTCTGTAGTTGTGATGTTTTTACTTTATTCCTCAAACACATGTCTTTAGAAGCAGGAAGGTTTGATTTCCTCCTGTTTGCCGGTCATAGTGAATGCATTCTTTCACATGCTGTTTAAAAAAGTTAAATTTAATTTATTATTTTTTCATAATAAATAAACCAGAAATAAGTTTAGGCTGTTTATAAGAAATGTTAGTTCTGATCTTTCATATTTTTTGATGAGGTCTAAGAACTCTGATAAATTTTATTTGTAGGTGTTTTTGAGATGTACTGGATTTTTTTGTGTAATCTGTCTTTAAAGAACATATCCTTATCACTGAATGCAGGTTCTCAGTGATTTATTCAATAAATAAGATTCAAATTTTTTTTATTTCTAAGCAGTGAGATGCATTTATCACCGTATAAATATCATCATAGAAAACATGTCTGTAAAGCTGAAGTCTGTAACTTTTTTTGGTTAAAAAGGATCCAAAATCAATATTTGAGCAA